CCTCTCTATCTCTCCTCCTCTCTGTACATCTGACTTTGTAATGAAAATAAAATGAATCTTAAAAAAAAAAAAATTCTAACTTTCATGACAATGGGAGTTTTCCTAACTTTAGAAATCACCAGTTGGGGCCACAGTTGTGGCACAGCAAGTTAAGAGGCTGTTTGCAATACCAGCATCACTTCGGAGCAATAGTATACATTCTGACTGGTCCACTCCGAATCCAATCCAGCTCCCTTGAATGTGCCTGAGAAGGCAAAAGATGGCCCTGACCACCCAAGTGGGAGACCCTGATGGAGCCCTGATTCATGGCTTCCACCCATCCTAGCGCTTGCTGCTGTGACATTTTGGGAAAGAATCAACGGACAGAAGATGTCTCCTATCTCTCCCTTCTCTGTCGCTCTGCCTTTCACATAAATCATTAAGTTGGTAAAACATTTTTCTTAAAAAAAAAAAATCACTAGCTGGGTGACCGCAATTGTCAGGACTAGACCTTCTCCCCCTGCCCGGAACAGGCCCGGTCCGAGCGGAGCCCTCCCAGTGCGGGGCTGGGCCTGCGGGCAGTGCCCCGCTGCAAAGAGAGGCTCCTGATGGTAAGGCCACATTTAGAGGAAGGAGCCGCGGTGGGCGGGAAGGGCGGTTAATTACCCAAAAAGCCACTCAGCAAGATACGCGGGGCAATCCCATTAGGAGGGCCACTGGGGCCAAGCATGGCGGCGCAGCCACCTGTGCCAGCAGCATCCTACATGAGCACCATGATTCAGTCCCAGCTGCTCTGCTTCCCATCCTGCTTCCTGCTAGTGGCCTGGAAGAGCAGTGGAGGACAGTACAAGTGCTTGGCTCTTCTGCAGCCCCAGCCCTGACTATTGTGAAGCAGTGCACAGAAAAGCTGTTTCTCCTTCCCTCTTTAATTTTGCCTTTAAAATAAGAATCAGTAACTCTTTTTTTTTTCAATCAGGCCCAGCACGGTGGCCTAGCAGCTGAGGTCCTCACCTTGCATTCACCAGGATCCCATATTGGCACCAGTTCTAATCCCGGCAGTTCCACTTCCCATCCAGCTTCCTGCTTGTGGCCTGGGAAAGCAGCAGAGGATGGCCCAAAGCCTTGGGACCCTGCACCCACGTGGGAGACCTGGAGGAAGTTCCTGGCTTCGGATCAGCATGGCCGTTGTGGTCACTTTGGTGAGGGTGGATCATCAGACGGAGGATCTTCCTCTCTGTCTCTCCTCTCTGTCTATCTGACTTTGCAATGAAATAAATCTTTTAAAAAATTTTATTTTAATCCAAAATCAGAGAGGAAGATCTTCTGTCTGTTGATTCACTACCCAAGAGGCCACAACAGCCGGTGCTGAGCCAGTCTGAAGCCAGGAGCCAGGAGCTTTTTCCAGATCTCTCACATGGGTGCAGGGTCCCAGGGCTTTGGGCCATCCTCAACTGCTTTTCCAGGCTGCAAGCAGGGAGCTGGAGGGGAAGCAGGGTTGCCAGGATTAGAACTGGTACCAATATGGGATCCCGGGGTATGCAAGGCGAGAACTTTAGCCACTAGGCTATCATGCTGGGCCTGAAATAAAAATCAGTAAATCTTAAAAAAAAAAAATGATAAAGAGTATCATAGTGAGCTCTGTGCTGCCCAGGAGCCTGAACCCCTCATCAGCTGCCCGCGATGCCCTCCTCTGTGGGTGCGCCTTTGTAATGAATCTCTACAAGCTGCAGGCTATACAAGCTCCAGGCTCTAGGGAGCCACGGCCGCCCCCAGCGCTATTCTGAGAACCCTCACCACTTCCTGGCTGAGACATGCCAGCCCACCAACGCACGCCCTAAGCACCGGGGAGCAGCTTCCAGAGAGTGCACCCCACTCCTCCACACATCCATGGCAGGAAGCCCCTGCCTCCTTCTCTGCTCCGGACCCCCACTTCCTTTCACCTTGCCCACCCTCACCTGCGGGTTCCCAGAGAGCTCACACAGCGCAGAGCTCGGTTTCAGCTCCACTTCCAAGCTTCTCCCACAGTGATCCAAGCCTGCTCACCCACCCATGGGACTGGGGAGACACCTCCGGGGTTTACTCTGAGCAACTCTCCCCTGCCAGGCTCCCCACCACCTGCCCACTGCCTCTCCAGCAGAAGCTGAGGGTGTCCCGAGGGACACAGCTGGCCTGCTGGTGACCCCAGAGCTCCGCAGGAGCCCCTCCCAGCTGTGCCCTGACTCGTGGCTTCTATTTCCTGCTCTCATTTTCTGCTCAATTCCTTCTCCTTCCCTTGACTCTCAGGAGACCCCAGCACGTCATGTGGTGACAGGGACAGCACTGATGTCCCCAACTCTGACAGCAGCAGAGGTCCCAGGAGACAGGCGCTGAGATGGCGGCCTGGAAAGGGCGTTGAGGACCATCTGTAGCACCAGGGGCTTCAAGCAGAGAATGCCAGGCCCCAGTCTCTGGCAGGCACCCACAGACAAGCAGCAGCCAGGCCCCACAGGGTCACGCCTAGATCCTTCTAAGGTCACGTCCTCCTGGCTCAAAGTTGAAGATACAAACCATCTACACAAAGTCAGTCAGCCAATCAGCACTAACCAGTACCAAGAATCAGAACACAAACTCGGGGCCCCTTCCTGGCTTCCCTAGTGCTACGGTCAGTCGGTCAGTGTCATGGCCAGCCCTAGCTGCAGGCCCCGCCTCACCTCCCACCATGCCCCTACAGGAGCTGCCCACTCCTGCCCGCTGCTGCCCCAACAGCTTGGTTCTCCTTCGACATCACGGCCCAGGACTTGCTGGGCCAGTGCTGCCCACCCCTCCAGGCCTATCCTGAGAGCTCTTTCCTCGCCATTCCTCTCCCATCCCCTATAGCCACTTTCCCAGGGATGGGCTTTGCATCTCAGCACTTCTGGCTCCAGCTTACTAGCCAGGAATGCCAAAGCACAGGCTGCAACGTGGAGGCATGTTCTCCTCTCCCACCCCCAAAGCAGGTGCTTGCCACACTCCAACAGCGACAGGGCTTTGGAGAGCTCCAAGGTCAACTACGGGGGCCCAGGAAAAAGCCACCTTAGCTGAGCAAAGGTGGAGAGCAGCAGTGGGGGTTGGTGGGATGCGAGCTTGGCTTGGCAGCAGGGGACCTGAGTAAGTAAATGCTCTTCTAAGAGCAGAATGCAGAACTGAGGGGCTGGCGGGAGGCTCAACAGACTAATCCTCCACCTGCCAGCACAAGAATACCACACAGCTGATGGCTCCAGTCCCACTGCTCCACTTTCCTTCCAGCTCCCCGCTTGTAGCCTGGAAAGGCAACTTAGGATGGTCCAAAGCCTTGGGATCCTGCACCATTGTGGGAGACCTGCAAGAAACCCCTGGCTTCAAACTGGCTCAGCTCCAGCCAGTGCAGCCATCTGGGGAGTGAACCAGCGGATGGAAGATCTTTGTCTCCTCTCTGTAAATCTGTCGTTCCAATAAAAACTTTTAAATCTTAAAAAAAAAAAAAAGAAAAGAAAAAACAAGCAAGCAAGCAAGCAGGGACCCGAGATCTGGTACCGGGCCAAGCTGCAACAGTAGAGGCAAGCCCGGGGGACACAGTGTGGGCTAAGACGGTACCCAGTCCCCAGCACTGGGTCACCTATTAACACAGTTTATACCATGCGATCTTAGAGTTAAGAGGGTAGACAGAGGGCAGAGTTGGAAGAAATCTTAGTAGTGTTCAGATGTGACTTTAATGGATAAAGTTTGAAGGTCAGCCTGGGGTTGCCACCTGCTCCCCAGACCCCTCACCAACACCCATGTCAGCTCCCACTTGGGACAGCTGACTCCCTAATCTACGACTCCCAACTGCCCCCCAGACACCCGTGACTGCCACTAATTCCACTGAGGTGTACCCAGCTGGGCGGCTCACTCCCAAAATGCCTGCCATGGCCAGGGCTGGGCCAAGCTGAAACCAGGGGCCTAGAAGTCCACCTGGGTCTGCCCACATGAGCAGCAGGCACAGGAAGCAGTAAGTCAGGGCACAGGGACACAATGCCAAGGGGCATCTCACCAAGTGCCTGCCCCCACCCGCCCAGGGGAAAATGAACTTAAAGGAGGCCCGCGGGCGGCTAGGAGGGGCCATGCCCATCACTACCTGCACATGCACATCTGACAACTGCAATCTCACTTCAAGGCCAGACTCCACCGCCTGTTGGGGGTTTCTCAGGAAAACCATGAAGCCTCGACTCAATACCCAGCTCAGCACAGCGCAGCCCAGCCCAAGGCAGCGTCTGAGTCTGTGCATCTTAGAGCTCCCCGAGCTCCGGCAGGAGACACTGAGCCATGAACAGACTGCAAGCAAGGAAACCCCACATTGTCATCTTAACAGGGTGAGCTGGCCGTTACTGCAAGGCTGCGGGGCCACACAGATCCAGACGCGTGCCCCGGGCAGCGGCGCCAGCAGAGGGGTCCCCAACCGCGCCCCAGCTCTGCCAGTTCTGAGACAGCCGACCGTGCCCATGGGCTGCTGCACTCGCCGTTCCGGGAGCTTCAGACCCACGACAGAGGACACGGGGGCGGGGACGAGGACACAGGGGCACCCCGAAACCAGGCTGGGCGCCGCCCCACCACCAGCCCCCAAAGCGCCAAGGCACGTCAGCCCGAACTTGGCCGTCGCTCTTCCAGAACCCGCAGTCCCTTGTCAGCCGGCGCGCGCGGCAGCGGGAGGACGCGACGCAGCCAGGGGAGTGGGGGGACAGGGCGCCCCGCTCGCGAAGGGGCGTGAACGCTGGGTGCTCGAGGCGGGACGGGGCCTGGGCGCGGGAGGCTGCCAAGCAGCGCCTGCATCCGCGAAGCCCCGGAGAGGTCGCGGGAGGAGCGCAAGGACAGCACGGCGGATCCGGGGAAGGCAGAAGAGACCGGAGACTACTCACTCAGCCAAGACTCCAAGCTCTCGCCTTCCGCCTCCGCCATATTGCAAGAGCCCGGGGCGGCCCCGCCGCCCTAAGTCTCGCGAGAGTCTGCTCCAGCCGCGCCGGGGCGGGGCCTGCATGGGGGCCTGAGAAACGCAAGAGGGGAACCCGAGGCTCGGGCCGGGACGCCGTGGGTGTGGGAAAGACGAGCGTTTCCTTATGCCGTGTTTTTCGCGGGCGTTGCAGTGCGAAGCTCTAGCGCCCAGACCAGTGGGGTGAAGGGCGGATGTAGAACCTTGTGGCGCTTCTCGCTCCCGTCGCTCGCTCAGGCGCGCCGAGGGCAGCCCGCGGTGTGGGGAGTCCTCGTGACCAGCCAAGATGGCCGCCCCCGTGGCGAAGGCTGTCCTCGGGTGGACAGGCTTGGCGCTGGGCGTGCGGCCGACCGTGTGCTGGCTTCCAGGGTGAGAAGGGGCGAGCGCCGCCGCTTGGATCTTCACAGTGGGGCCTGCAGGGAAGGGAAGGGGCCATGGGCAAGCCGCGCGGCGTCCCGGACGGCTGGACTCGAACCTGTCACCCGGCTGCCTGGCTCCTCGGGGAGGTCGGAACGAGCTAACGGTGTCCGTAGCTGCGAGTGCGGTCCCCCCTCGTCAAGGGGCAGACCGGGACCGTCAATGTGTGGGGGTGGTGGCAGGGCCCGGCCTTACCTCCAGCACCTGACAAGGAGGACTCCCCGTTCCGTGTGAGGAGCCGCTTGGGGGACTAGAGGGCTCAAAGCCTGAGCGGCTCAGGCGCAGCCAGCGGCTGCAAGCACGCCTATTGTTAAGTCAGGCTTCCTCATTTGTGGGGTCAGCTTTAGCCCGTCCCCCGCCCTCCCCTCTTCCAGGCTCACGCAGGTGCGGTGGAGCCGCTATGGGCCCGAGTACCGGGATCCCTTGGTGGAAAAGGACTATTACCGCAAGCCCGCGGCCGAGCTCACGGAGGAGGAGCAGTATGATCGGGAACTCAGGAGGACTCAGCTCATCAAAGCCGCGCCGGCCGCGAGGACCAGCTCCGTGTTCGATGACCCCGTCATCAGGTGAGCTGGATGGGGACACGCACGCAGGAGGGTCCCCGGGCAGGTGCCGGGGGTCTGCCTTTGTAAGCTAAACGTGTTGTGTGGCTTTTTTCGTCCTCCCTGAAGCAAATTCACCAACATGATGATGAAGGACGGGAACAAGGTCCTGGCCCGGTCCCTCATGACACAGGTAAGTGCCCCCCTCTTGTGCGCGGCATGGCACACCTGTCATTAAAGTGAACTCCCCCCAGAGAGGCCCTGTCCTCCAGCAGCAGCGGCAGAGGCACTTGGGGACTGTGTCTTGGGTGTGCTATGAGATGCCAGGAGACAAAGGGGCATGCCTTAAGAAGCCTGGGGTGACAGATGTCTGCCCATGTTCTCCCTTGCAGACCCTGGAAGCCATCAAGAGGAAGCAGTTTGCCAAGTACCACGCGGCCTCAGCAGAGGAACGCACGAGCATTGAGCTCAACCCCTATGTTATCTTCCACCAGGCGCTGAAGAATTGCGAGCCCGTGCTGGGGCTCATATCTGTCCTCAGAGGCGGGCATTTCTACCAGGTGACCAGGCAGGACAGGCCCCAGTGTAGACATCGGTAGGGGAGCGAAGACGAAGAAAGCAGAGTAGCGTCTGGTGGGCTGCCTGGGATCCCCCCGGGCCTCTCCTCTGCACTGCGATCCTGTGAGGCCCTGCAATCCTGTGAGGCCCTGCGATCCTGTGCGGCCCTGCGATCCTGTGAGGCCCTGCGATCCTGTGAGGCCCTGCGCTGTAGGCCTGTCGGGGATCATGTAGGCATCGCTCATCAGCAGGGTTTTGTTTTGTTTTTTTGGGCTTTTTTTTTAAAGGATTTTTTTTCCTTTGTAAGGCAGTGTTACAGAGCTGAGCCATTAAGAAGCTGGGAGCTTCTTCCGGGTCTCCCACGGGGGTGCAGGGGCCCAAGCACTGGGCCCATCCTTCACTCCTTTGCCAGATGCATTAGCTGGGAGCTGGCTGGGAAGTGGAGCAGTTGGGACTTAAACTGATGTACCATGGCATCGGCCTTCTCCTTTTTCAGTATAAACCCACAGGGTGGACATGGTCTCATTAGTGCCTGCTTCCTGCATATCTGGCATGGGCATTGGCACCAATGAGGACGTGCCAAGTGACCCTTGGGCAGCAGGTCTTATTTTTAGGAACCCATGGTCTGCAGTGGTCTAGTCACCACAGCTGACAGCTCTTGCTGCCTGGTGCTTGCGTCGCCTCCGTTCAGGAAGGGCGGCGGCCCAGGCTCAGTATGTGCTGAACAGCTACCTCTACGACCCATATTCCGAGGTGGCCTGGGGTGGGAGGAGTCCAGAGCAGAGCAGACAGGCCTCCCCACGGTGGGGTGCGGCTAGCCCTCCCGAGGCCCCAGCCTGTGCCGCGCCAACCTCCCCCGTCTTCCCCTGGCCACCCTGCCCAGGTGCCCGTGCCGCTGGCCGACCGCCGACGCCGCTTCCTGGCCATGAAGTGGATGATCACGGAGTGCCGGGAGCGGAAGCACCGGCGGACGCTGATGCCCGAGAAGCTGTCCCAGGAGCTGCTGGAGGCCTTCCAGAACCAGGGCCCCGTGATCAAGCGGAAACACGACATGCACAAGATGGCTGAGGCCAATCGCGCCCTGGCCCACTACCGCTGGTGGTAGGGAGGCCCGGGAGCCCCGCGCCCTCTGCCCTGCCACTTTCATGGCAAAGGCACCTGTGGGGCATGGACAGACGCCTCTCTGAGGCAGGAGGGAGCAGTGTGCCCACTGCTCGCCAGCTGTCCTCTAGGGCACAGCTGCCCTCTCATGAAGAAGAAACGGTGCCCACCCTGAGGAGCTTCCTCTGAGGAACTTGCAGCCCAGGGCACCTCCACCTCAGCAGGGAGCAGGCTGCAAGATGCCACGAGAGGAAGCAGTTTTAGTATCGGCAAGATTTATTAGAAAAGTCCCACCTGCACTGGCATGTGAGCCAGGACCACAACTCAGTCATTAAAACAGACTGGAGGAAATGCATGTGGTCTCCAAGTGGTCTCTTCAGGTCACGTGGGGGCTGGGGGGCTGTGATTGCCTGTGCTGCCCTGTGACAGTCCCTCATCAGCAGCCCAATAGCTGAGGCTGCCTTTTTTACAAATGAGGAAACTGAGGCACCCAGATGGCTTGTTGTGCCTGCCTTACACAGTGTAGTGGTTGGTAGTGGTGGAGAGGGGTTCAGCCCTAAACCAGCAGAGCAGGTGTGGGGAGGTGGGGCCTCAAGGCGGGATCACTCCCTGTGCAGATGGGGTGGAGGCATGGGCTGTGTGGCTGGCCTGGGGAGCGGTGGAGGGCAGGCTGTGGGCACTAGTCCGGGAGCTCACTGTAATAGCACTTGTGGGCTGCAGGGCCCGTCGTCCAGCCTGGTTAGTGCAGAGGGGAGGCGGGGGGCACTAGTCCGGGAGCTCACTGTAGTAGTACTTGTGGGCTGCAGGGCTCGTCGTCCAGCCGGCGGCCCGGAACTCAATGATCTCCAGCAGCAGCAGCTGGGCTAGGGAGCTGAGGCCAGCAGGGAGCAGAAACCCATCTCGGAGCAGGATGAAGAGCTCCTCCATGCGCTGCCCGTTCATCCTCTCCAGCTGCTCCCCGACCCGGTGCAGCTGCAGCACCAGGCAGTCCACCTGCAGGGCCACAACGATACTTGCCTAGGGCCAGCCTGGCTGGGTGCTGCCCCACTCCTGTCATCTTTGCCCACCCTGCAGGGCCCGGCTGTGGCGGCTGAGCCTCCATCATTCCTGTCTGACAGGCTTCCCTCCTGGAGAGGGAGTCCCTGAGCAAGCAGGTTGGGGGTGCTCTGGATCCTGGATAAACGCCAGCTTGCCTTGCACCTGGCCCACCTTCTTCCAGGTGCCCCTCCTACACTGGATTCCTGCTTCAAAGGGTCTGGACAGTGGGCAGGCACTAAGCCCACGGTGCCGGCGCCACCCACCTCCTCCTCCTCGCTTAGACTGTCGGGCTGGGCCAGCCGGAAGAGGCAGTCATAGACGGGGTTCACCAGGGCCATCATGGGCATGTTGTTCACCTGTAGGGGGATGGGAGCTGTGGGCATCAGCCCGGCCTGGGGCTCAGGACACCCACAGGCAGTGAGGCTACCCGGGCCTCACCCTCAGGTGGTCGAAGACGTTGCAGATGAAGGTGACGTAGCAGACCCAGCCGCGCAGGGAGCGTGCCCGCAGCTGCTCCCTAGCCTGGTACTCCTGCTGTAGCCGGTTAAGGAGCCCTCGGCGGAAGACACTCTGGCCAGCCTGCTGACTCTCAGCCTGCAAGCCCACAAGAGGAGCGCGAGAGTGGGGACCATGTCCTGGGAACCCCACCCAGCCCATGCCTCTGTGCTGCTGGCCAGGTCTGCTGCCCATCTGAAGGCATCTGCTCTGTCCTCCATCAGTCCCTCCCCCCACCTGAATGATGGCGTAGCACATGCGTCCTGCTTCCTTGCTGAACACACAGTCCTGCAGAGAATGGTCCACAATCACATTGGCCACTTTCTCCAAGTCCACAGCTCCTGGATCTGGAGGCAGAGACGGGAAGGGAGTCTACGGCCACTGCCCACCCACATTTACCTCCATCAACTCCAACCTGGGGAGGCTCTGATGCCTCGTTATAGATTTTTAAAAAGGAGGGGGACGCGGGGGGACAGACCCAGCGAGGCCCAGAAGAGGGTGCCGTGGAGTTGCGTTTCACGACATCTTCCCCAGCACCAGGTCGAGGACAGCAAGTCTGCAGTGAGTGTTTCAGGGAAAGTTTCTACAAACTCGCACACCCCCCCTGCAGAGCAGGCCACACGGGGCCTGGGCCTTGGGCTTGGCTGGGCACGTGATGGGCATTGTGTCAGCTGAATCAAACTTGTGTTCACCGCGAGAAGGCAGTGGTTGAGCCTCCTGCACCATCCATCCCCCGCCAGGAAACTGGAGGGCGGCAGTGTCTTTCGAGGGGGGTGGGCTTCAGTTTAAAGAGAAACTGCAGGCTAACAGGTGACTGCGTGATTCATCCTTCCACACACCAGGCTCTTCCAGAGTCAGGCCGGGCTCAAAGGGAGGGGGCAGGGTCAGCCTGCAGGTGCTGCTCCAAGGGGCTCAGGAAGGGGTCTGGGCGGAGCTCACCTTTGAGCGCAGTCTTCAGCAGCCGCTGGGTCTCTGCATCAAAAGACTGGATTTTACTGTACTCCTCTCTCCCGGCCTCGCCCATGACCATCTGGCCGGCCCGCAGTTCTTGGCAGGGCTAGGACTACTGACCACCTGGCAAGAAGGCAGAAGGAGGCGTCAGGTGTGCAGCCTGGGATTCCCAGCGCCAGGCCTTCTGTGGGATGGCCAGCTAGTCGGGCAGCTGCTCCTGGGCTCTCCCGTGTTTCGGCTGAGAGCTCACCAAGCCCGGCTTCTGGTGCCAGCCGGACACCTGCTGCTCAGCTGAAGCAACTCCAGACTTCTGCGATTACACTAGGGTGAGGGGTGGGAAGCCAGCGCACCTCCCCTCGGGTCCCTCCAGGGGGAGGCAGCACCGCCAAGGGGAGCGCGCGGATGCGGACCCGCGGGGTAGAGCCGATTGCCCTGTGTCTTTCGACCGGCCCGGCTCGACGCCGAACGACTGACAAGGCTGGAGGAGTGGGGGAGGCCCGAGATGCGGTGCCCTGTCCCAGCAGGGATCCGAGCTCCTTTCCCCTACCTCCTCCCCCCAGCTTTCAGTGCGCGAAACCCACCCCTCCAGCACGCGGGTCCGAGGGGCCTGCGTTAGTGGGCTCCCCTGCCGGTCGGAGCCCAGACCCCTTCCGCCCGGCAGCAGCTCCCCGGGACGGGCTGGTTCAACTGGTCTCCCGAGTGGCAGCGACGCGGCCCTACCCGCTCAGGACTCCCAACTCCGCGAGTTCCACTCGGGATCGAAGCGTCCTCCTAAGGCGGCAGAAGGACGCTGCGTCCCCGAGCGGTGGCGGCCGCTGGAGTGCCCCCGGCTCGGAGCCGTCTCTCAGATCCTACGAGGCGACCCGAGCGCTTTCCAGACCTCGGCAGCTTGCCAAGTCCGGGAGGCGCGGCCCGGCGGGTGGGAGCGACTGCGAGAGCTCCCCGGGACCCACCTGCCGGGCCGGCGCCGCGCCCGCGTGCCCGAGGGCCGCCCGGCGGGCATGGGTGCGCGCGCCCGCCGCCCGCCGCCCGCGCGCCGCTGAGCTCATTTCCCAGCGCGGCGCGGGGCGGCGTCTGCTCGCCGGCGCCACCTGCCGGCTGCCGCCCCGCGCCGAGCGAGCCCGGCCGGTCCGTGGCTACCAGGGCTCGCGGGCGCTGCGGGCTGGCCCGCATGACGCCCTCGGGGGTCTCGCGGTGGCCCATGCCAGGGCTCCGGTGGAGTGTGGCAGAACGGGCCAGGCCACGCGGCGTAGGAGGAGCGCCGAGGGCGTGGCCGGAGGGACGAGCTGACCACAGCGGCTCACACAGAGTGCACACACTGAGGGCAGAGCAGCTGGCACGGCGGCACCCACGCCCACCACTCCCTCCTACCACAGGTGCCAACAACAAGGGCAGTCATGGGCGAGAGCCTTTCTGGCTCCAGAGCGGCTGTCAGGGCTGAGTGAGGCCCAGGCGCGGACAGCTCCGCCTGAGCAGCAGAGGCGCGGGCCTGCCTGTGGTGCCCCGTTCTCCTAAGGTGGTCTCTTGAAACAAGACAGCTCTGGCCTGTCTCAGCGCCAGAATCCGAGGAGGAGAGGTGAAGAGCAAAGCCTCACCTCCAAGGCTTCTCATACAAAATGCATTAGGGCATCGCTCCCCGCAGCCCTGGCCTTGAATGCCAAGGGCCTGGAGGCTCACAGCATTGTGGACCTTCTGGTTCTGCAGCCAAGAGCTGGGGGGACCAGAGGGAGCGAGCGCCACAGTACCCAGGGTCCAGAGCCTGCTCCAAAGCAGGTGTGTGCATGTGCGGCCGTCGGGGCTGTAGATGGCCACCCTGCCTCCTTCCCCATAACTAGAGTTCTCTGCACTCACCCCACCCTGGCCTCTCAGAACCCCCCGGGGAACCGACTCTGCGCTTGCCAGGCCCTCAGCCCAGTCCACAGCTGGCCACTCTGAGCCAGGAACAGCCTGGGTGGGGGTGAGGCCAGCTGGCCCCCTCTAAGCTCCTCCCCCAGCAGGGCTACCCCAGCTCTGACAGAGAAGAGAAGCCATCCCAAGAAGCCTGGGGAAAGGGCTGTCGCCTCCACCCACCCCTCCCAGTACACTGTCCCTCTGGCTTCCTGCTTCCGGTGGGGGCTCTTGGGAGAGTGGCCCGAGGGTGGTGCTTCTGTAGGTACCGGGAGGGAGGGGGAACAGGAAGTGTAGCTGGCTGGGCTGGGCCGGGCCGCTCCCTGTGGGATCCAGCAGAGCCTGGGGAGGGCTCCCTGTTGGGTCCAGAGGGGTAGGAAACGTGGGGGGGTGGGGGCAGCGAGCTGAACCAGTGTGACAAAGAAACAGGTTTGCAGCTTTAATGGCTGTTAAATACACATATGGAAGAAACAGCCCAAGCCTGGGCACCAGACTCTGGCTCAGGGCCCAGGGCCCACCCTCCCACTCCCCTTCTCACAGGGGTGGGGCTCCTTACTGAGCCTGGGGGGGCAGGGAGGGACAAGGAGAAGCAACAACCCTTAGTTCCATGCTGGTGTGGCTGCCCCGCCCCCAGCAGCCCTCACCCTGACATCCCGCTGTCTTCCCAAGCCTTGACCTGGCAGCGTTGCGAAGATTCAGGGGTGGCTGGTCTGGAGAGAGGGACCAGGCAGCCCTTGGCATTGCTATGTGAGACCAGGGGTGGCGCCTGCCTTTGGGGGGCCCTCCCAGAGTCAGAGTGGAGACTAGCTGTCCGCCTTCTTCATGCAGTGGAAGAAGCTGCAGAAGAGCTCGTACCAGAAGAACACCAAGCCGGTGGAGAGGGCGGCCTTCAGCAGGCTGGGGGACAGGCCCTTGAAGCAGCCCGGGGCCCCCTCCTCCCGCAGCACCTGCCGCGTGCAGTCCAGGAGGCCTCTGTAGCACCGCACCTATGGGAGGAAGGTTAAGGCTGAGGAAGAGGCTGGCGATTAAAAGACAGGTGCAGCTGCTACCTGCCACAGCCCCTGAAAACACCTGCTGGAGGAGGGAGTGATGAGAACGGACAATGAGCTGACCTCATCCTATGGCAGCGAAAGCCTGGGAGTCGGCAGGTGGCCACAGCGCCTTCCGCTCCCAAGCAGCTGGCGAGCTCCAGATTTTCTGCCCAGAAGTGTCTCTAACCCTTCACCCCATTCCCCCTAGCACCCCACAAATCTGAAACTGGCCCTTGGCGACTTATCTTTTTTAAAAGATCTATTTACTTGAAAGAGTTGCAGAGATGGAGAGTAAGAGCTCTTCCATCTACCGGTTCACGTCCAGACGGCCACGACAGCCAGTGCAGGGCCAGGCCAAACCAAGAGCCAGCGGTTCATGAGTCTGACAAAGCAGCAGAGGATGGCTCAAGTGTGTGGGTCCCTGCACCCACATGGGAGACCTAAAAAACTCCTGGCTTTGCACCTGACCGGCCGCAGCCATCGTAGCCAGCTGGGAGAGTGAACCATCAGGGGGACGATCTCTGTCTCTCCATCTTTTAAGTGCACATGACTCTATGCAAAGGTGGAAAACTCAACCAAAGGATGCCCTCCGACCACCCAGCTGGTGGCAGAGTTCCACAAGCCTTGACCTTCTTGGCAATTTCCTACAAAGCTATGCACCCAGAACTCTGTTTCCTGCTCCATTCCATAGCGCCCCTCCCCTCCGACATGTGTGTCACTAGCATTCCTCAGGCCACCGGTATGTCCCAGGTTCCCTGGATCTGCAGGGGAAGACCCTGGGGTCCTGAAGCCCCCGTGGCCGCCTGTAAGGTCAGCACTGAGGTATACAGGGTGAGAGTTGAGCACCGCAGCTCAGAAGGCAGCGTCCCACCCTGGAGCGCCGATCCAAACCACTTCCATCCCAGCTCCCTGCTGATGCAGCCAGGGTGAGAGGCGGAAAACGACTCAGGTGCTTGGGGCCCTGCCACCCATGTGGCAGACCCAGATGGAGTTCTGGGCTCCGGGTGGCGGCCTGGCTCAGCCCTGGCTGCTGGGAAACTTGGTGAGTGAACCAGCAGATGGCAGGATGTGCTCTTGTTCACTCACGTGCTCTCTCTCTTTCAAATATGAACATTTGAAATTAATAAAAATAAACCTAGGGCCCAGCGCGGTGGCCTAGCAGCTAAAGCTCTCGGTTTGAACATGCCAGGGTCTTATATGGGCACCAGTTCTAATCCCAACAGCCCTACTTTCCCATCTAGCTCCCTGCCTGTGGCATGGGAAAGCAGTTGAGCACGGCCCAAAGCTTAGGACCCTGTACTGCGTGGGAGACCCGGAAGAAGCTCCTGGCTCCTGGCTTCGGATGGGTTCAGCTCCGACCATTGTAGTCACTTTGGGAGTGAATCAGTGGTTGGAAGATCTTCCGTTCTGTCTCTCCTCTCTATATATCTGACTTTGCAATAAAAATAAATAAATCTAGCAATGTGCAAGTCTGAAAGACCATGAGAGAATGGCTGCTACCTCAGGAGTATTCTCTACTACAGAGTTCCTCCCAGAGCAAACCCTTCTAGAACTTTCTACACAGAAATCAGGGGCTCCAGTGCCTAGCACCATGTCTACGAAGACCATGACAAAGGGCAGGGTAGTGCACAGCTCCGTGCAAGTCTCCGACTCTGCCTTCTTCGTGAGAGTGGTCCCAAGACCCACCGGCGGCCACCCCCACAGGCGGGCCTCACCTGGCCGAAGCTGGCTCGGGCCCTCTCGAAGCCTCCGACCTGCAGGCGCTTCTTGAAGAGGTCCAGGGGGTAGGTCAGAGTCTTGCTGATGACGCCGGCTCCGCAGCCACAGAGCAGGTTTCTGAGGTTCTCTGGAGCAGAGGAGAGAGGCGGGACATGGGGCGTTAGCGGGAGCTGGACCGCCATCAGCAGCTCCCATCCTCATAGGCCCCCCTGCCAGCTGGGCTGGCAGCTGCAGCTCCCACCGCAGTGCTGCTGGAATCCCTGAGTGCCTCCAGCATTCCATTCCTCTATCGCAGGCTGCAGAAGGCATGGAATGCCCTCCCAACACACACCCTGAAACAACAACCCATCACCACCAAGCAGATGTGTTGGGCTTGTGACAGAAAAGCTGTTTCCGCCATCCTCCACGGAGGATACCAGTGCTGGGTGTGGTGAGGGCCCAGGACGCTCAGCTGCAGGGCCGGGTGCAGCCAGCAGGGGGCGCTCGCTTCGGGCAGGAAGACGTCCTTCCCCGGAGAGGACTGGGCAGCGCTGGGTGGTTGGTGGACAGGACTCACCGTTCTGCTTGCCATTGGCCGGCGTGAGCCACTCAGAGGCCGACTTCAAGGCGCTGTAACAGGAGAACTGGAAGCCGGCGTAGGGGAAGATGGCAATGAGCGTTGGGGTCAAGCCTTTGTAGAAGGCCAAGGGGCCCTCTGTCCTGTGCATGGTGACCACCGCATTTCTCAAGGTCTTGTACACCTGCGAACGAGCAAGCCTGAATGAGCTGCATGGGGTCCTTGGAGCCCCTCACAGCCACGCCCACTGGCTTAAAACCCAGCTCCCAGGAGCCCGCCAAGGAGGCAGCTGTTGCAGAAAAAGCTCGACAGTTACCCAAGCACCTCCCCGTCTACACACCTACAACACAGTGACAGCCAAATGTGTCCCCAACAGCGGGGGGCCAGGACTGGCACTGCGGCACAGCCTGTTGAGCTGAAACCTGCCATGTAAGCATCCCATGTGGGCACAGGTTCGAGTCCTGGCTGCTTCATTGCTGACCCAGCTCACTTGGATGGCCTGGAGAAACAGCGGACCTGCCACTCAACGTGGGAGACCCGGACGAAGCTCCTGGCTTTGGCCTGGTCCAGTCCCCAGCCACTGCAGCCATTTGGGGAGGGAACCAGTGAGTGGAAGATAGGCCTCTCTCTCTGTAACTATGCCTTTCAAATAAACAAATCCTTAAAACAAAAATCCTTAAAAAGAAAAAAAAAAACCACAGGTGCCCCAGAGTGTCTGCAGCTTCTAGAACAGTGAAGGACACAGCGGGGGTGCAGGCGGCTGCACATAGTGGGGCCAGCGCAATTTCCTGCCCCACCCCGGCTTGTGCAGTCAGTGAGTGAGTGAATACAGCTTTAATAAATCAGAGATCTTGAGACAAATGAACTCTGTTCTCTTTATAGTAGTACAAATTTAAAAGAGAGACAGAGATAGAGACAGAGCAGGGCAGGTGCTGAGCCCCCTCAGGGCTGACCCCACACAATGCTGACCCCCCGCCAGTGCTGGCCCTGCCCACTGCTGACCTGCCCCTTGCTGACCCCACCATCGCTGATCCTGCCCAGCGTGAAACACACACAGTGCTGGCCCCGCCCACCGTGGGGAGTCCCATCCTTATTTCACACCTGTAGGCTCCGGTCCCCAGAAAAGGCAGGAACCCCCTACCCAGAGCACACACACCGGTCTCAGGTTTTACAAACTGATCCAGGAACTCAACCCCCGAAACATGTGCCTTATTCAGGGTCCCCTTGTCTGGTCCCTAACCACTCACCTTGGGCTCCCCCTGGGCTGCAAAGCGTGTGCGCAGAACGTCCACGGGGTGCACTGCGAGGGTGGCCATGCAGGCAGACAGGCCACCACACACGAAGTGCACGGAGAACTCGCGGGCATCATGGGCGGTGGCTCTGTGGACCAGCTCTGTCAGCAGCTCAAACGACAAGAACTGTGGGAACAGTCCGTGACAGCCCAAAGAATGAGCCTAAGGCCAAACACTCCAGAAGACCCTCCGTGACCCAGGAGGGGCCGGGCCTGGGACAAGAAATAAGAACACGCTCTTCCTGGGGAGTGATACAATCTACATGAGCATGTGGGACCAGTGTTGTGACAGTGCCTTAAAACACTGTCTCTGGGGTCCAGGGCAATAGCGTAGCGGTTAAAGTCCTCTCCTTGAATGCACCAGGATCCCACATGGGTGCCGGTTCTGGTTCCGGTGGCCCCGCTTCCCATCCAGCTCCCTGCTTGGGACTCCTGGCTTCAGATTGGCTCAGCTCCAGCCATTGCAGCCGCTTGGGGAGTGAATCATCAGATGGAAGTTCTTCCTCTCTGTCTCTCTTCCAGGGTCCATGAGATGCCACTGTCACAGAAGGAGGCTTAACCTACCATGCTACAGCACCAGCTCCAGAAGTGGAGCAGCCAGGACATAAACTGCCCATATGTGATGCCAGCATTGCAGGGGTGGAAGCTTAGCCTGATGTGCCACTGTGCCCCTAAAATAAAGGCCAAATGTAGTACAGCAGTTAACGCTGTGACGCTGGCATCCCAAATCCACATGTTGCTTTTCCGATCCAGCTCCCTAATTACGTGCCTGGAAGGCAGCAGATGGTGGCCCAGTGCCTGGGCCCCTGACACCCATGTGGGAGACCTGAATGCATTGCTGGCCCCTGGCACTGCCCTAGCCCAGCTCTGGCCACTGTGGTCACTTGGGAAGTCAATCATTGAATGGAAAATCTTTCTCCCTCCCTCTTTCAAAGAAAAATAAAAATGAATCTTCCTCAAGTAAGAAAATGGGCAAGTGTTGATACTGCATCATCATAGGAGTGCCTGGCTTGGAGTCCCACTCTGTTGCTCACTCCAGCTTCCTGCTAATACACACCGTGGGAGCTAGCAGAAGATGGTTCAAGCAATTAGATGCCCGGCAGCCATATCTGAATTCCCAGCTTCAGCCTGGCCCAGCACAAGCGGGTGTAGGTATTTGGGGCATGAACCAGCTCTCTCTGATCGACCCTCTGTGCACCTCCCTCTATCTGTATCTCAAGTAAATAAAAACTAAAGAGGGGCCAGCGTTGTGGCATGGTGGGTAAAGCTGCCCACCATGACACCGGCATCCCCTGTGCATGCTGGTTCCAGTCTAGGCTGCTCCGCTTCCAACCCTGCTCCCTGCTGACGTGCCTGAGAAAGCAATGGAAGTACTAGCACTCCTATTCCTGTGAGAGACCCAGAAGATGCTGCTGGCTCCTGGTTTCAGACCAGCCCAGTTCTGACTGTTGCAGCCATTTGGGGAATGAACCAACTGGTGGAGGATCTCTCTCTAAATATACAGATGTAACTTTGCCTTTCAAATTAGTAAATAAACAACTTGTCCTTGGCCAAACCTCATGAGATCATGCTACCAAGGTCCCAAGTGTAAGACCTAAATCACCGGGCCGGGCAGTAGGGATCCCTCTGATGTCCCCACAGGCAGGGCAGGCCCTGCAGCCAGCGGGAGGCCAGGCTGCCTCTCACTGCCCGGCCCGAGACCCCACCGCCCCCTGCACCCCTCTCACTGCCCGGCCCGAGGCCCCACCGCCCCCTGCACTCCTCTCACTGCTTGGCCCGAGGCCCCACTGCCCCCTGCACCTGCACAGAGCGCTGCCCTTCAGCTGGCCAGTTGCCTGCCACTCACCTGGACGGCTCCATAGCCAATGGAGAGCAGCTGGGCAGGCACGTGTCCTTTCCAGAAGGCTCTTGGGCCTTCGTCCTGCCAAATGCGCCTGGTGGCCTGCACAATCCCATGGTACTTGGCGCCGGGGTCACTGCGAGACAGGCGCTCGATCTGAAGCTGGTCATGAGGATGGGAGAGGTCAGGGGGCGAGGTGACAGCAGGGTGGGGAGAAGGTATCACAGTGCTTCCCCTTAACCACGCTCCAAGCTCCAAACAGCCCGGCCTCCCCCACATGCCCGTGTGTCCTGCTGCCCAGGCCGTCTCCCCCACATGCCCGTGTGTCCTGCTGCCCAGCCCATTTGCCCCACATGCCCATGTGTCCTGCCGCCCAGCCCATCTCCCCCACATGCCCATGTGTCCTGCTGCTCAGCCCGCCTCCCCCACATGCCCATGTGTCCTGCTGCCCAGCCCATGGACAAGGGGGGCAGGGTACCTGGAAACGGATTTTGATGACATCCAAGGGACTGATCAGCGCCCGAGTGACGAGTCCTGACAAGGAGCCAGCCACAGCCACCTCAGACTTAGAGATGTTCCTGCCGTCTGCTCTGGGGTCATAACCGACCATTCCTGCCTCTCGCCCGTCCAGCGTCCATCAGTACCAAGCTGGATGCGAGAGAGACTTGGCATCAACACGGGGGCAGGTTTTCTGGGGTGTCTCCAAGTAGGCCCTGGGGTGCAGCGGCCTGTGTTCGCTGTCCTGCAGCGATAGACTGGGACGGAGTCAATAATAACGCGCATGGACTATCGACTGATGGTCAATAGCCTAAGTTTATTAGTGGCATCAGGCTTTTATAGACTGACGGTCACATGGGATGAGGGAGGAGGCTTCTATAGTTCCCATAAGCCTGTGTACGGAACCCATCAATAATTTCCACATCCTTGTCTGAAAGTATCTTTTTGTTTTACAGATCCAATCAAGTGTTCTCATATAAATGATATCCAGTCAATTGTCCTGTGACAGGACTGTCCATGACACCTGCACCCTTCTCTGCTTCCCTCCCGCACACAGGTTACAGAGTGGGGTCAGCTTCCTGCCCGGCTGGGTGGGGGAAGAGGCAGGTGTTAGGGAGTCTGCCTGTCCCTGCAGGATTCACACCTGCAGCTGGGGGGAGGCTGGAGATTTCCACTCATGAGCAGCTCTAGGTATATCTAAGGACATAACCTTGGATTCCAGAACAGGAAACTTGGGGTTCAAGTTCTCGGGGCAGCTATTTGACACGGGTTTGGCTTTCCCTTCCTGCAGACTGCAATGACATCTGACCTGTCCCCCCCAGGTTGCTGGGCGGATCCTGCCAGGCGCTGTCCCTGTGTGAGAAGGCCATGGTCTGGGGTGGGCGTTTGGACCACTAGAAAAGATTCGTTGAAGCCTCCCCCGTTTGTCTCTCTAAAGAATCAAAAATAGTAAAGTAACAGCCATAGACACGTGGAAAGGGCTTGTTAAACATGCTTCCCGGGGGTACTCACTTCTTCTGCTTGTTCAAAAATATCCTATACCGGTGAATTTTGACAGTGACCTAAAGGGCAAGACAGAATAAATACATCCCCTGCGTGACCGCGGCGCCGCAAAGTGGGCAGTGTGTGTGTGTGTGTGTGTGTGTGCAGTGTGTGTGTGTGTGTGTGTGTGTGTGGAGCGGGGACGCCGCCCCCACCGCTCGCTTTTCTGGGGGAGCTCCCGGTGTTGGGGTTCTGCAGGTGCCCCTAAGAGACCGGATCTCTGACCCACCCGAGTCTGAGCCCACCTTGTGCCAGGCGCGCCCCGGGCGGGAATCCCGCCTCCAAGGTCGGGTCAGGTGTGACACGTGGGCGCGAGTCCCGCCCCCGACGTCCACCTGCGCCGCCCCACCCGCCCCGGGGAGTCTGGGACCACGTCCCCAAAAGGATGGCCAGGAGGGCAGAGGTAAAGGTCACTCACCTAGTGGACACTATGAGCACGACTCGGCCGCCCGGGGTCGGCTATCTCCCTCCTCAGGAAGCCTAACAGCAAAACTCAATTGCCTTTGGCAGTAACTAACAGGCATCTAGGCCAATCACCGAGCAGCCTTGTCAGACGTCAGGCCAATGGCTGGACTCTCCGAGTCTAGCGCCCGCCTCCGCAGGTCTTTCTGGTTAATGTAGTCCCGAGATCCGACGGGCTTTCCCGGTGGGGTGCACAGCCTCCTGGGAGGTGTAGTCCTACATCCTGCGCATGCGCCCAAGAGTTCGCGGCGAGGCGGAAGACGTCTGCTGGAGGAGGCGGGCTCTGACCTTGGGCTCCCCAGGCGATGTCCCGCAGCTCGGGATCCGCCTGCAGAATAGTTGAACTTGACCCTTTTCCTCAATTTAAACTTGGAAAAGGTGGCAGGAAGCTTGGCAGAACTCTGGAGGGTGGGGAAGAGAGAATAAGCGACGAGGAGGAAGATGAGAGGGTTGTAGCCCCTGCAGTTTATTACAGGATAATAAGAACAGGACATGTGGGAGTGAAGGGGAAAACAGCTCTCTTCCCACGATCTTCACAGGGCAAGTGTTGGAATTTTCCAGAACCACCCCTGATTTCACGTTTATATTAATTTTTAAACATTTTTTATTAGAAAGTCAGATATACAGAGAGGAGGGGAGACAGAAAGGAAGATCTTCCATCCATTGATTCACTCCCCAAGAGGCTGCATCAGCCAGAGCTGAGCCAATCTGAAGCCAGGAGCCAGGAGCTTCTTTTATTCTTGTCACATGGATGCAGGATCCTAAGGCTTTGGGTCATCCTCGACTGCTTTACCAGGCCATGAACAGGAAGCTGGGTTGGAAGCAGGGCTGTCAGGATTAGAACTGGCACCCATATGGGATCCTGGCAAGGCAAGGACTTTAGCCACTAGCTACTGTGCCAGGCCAGATTTTTATATGGCTTTTTAAACAGACTTACAAAAATAAAAAAATGAAGTAAATTTTAAAATAATAAAATAAAAGAAATTTTAAAGAAAAAAGGGAGGGAGGGGTGCAGTGGTGAAATGGTGCAGAAGTTAAGCATCTGCCTGGTGCTGGCATCCCACAGGAGTGCCAGTTTGGGTCCTGGCTGTTCCACTTCCCTTCCAACTCCTTGCTTATGATCTGGGAAGGCAGCGGAGAATGGTCTAAGTTCTTAGGTTCCTGCACCAAGGTGGGAGACCCAGAAGGGGCTCACGACCCTTGACTTCAGATCACCTCAGCTCCAGCTGTCTCACCCATCGGCAGAGTGCATCAGCCAATGCAAGATCTCTTGGTCTCTCCCTCTCTCTGTGTAGCTCTGCCTTTCAAACAAATAAATACATCTTTAAAAAAGAAGCTCTATGTTTACTTGTTCGCTGTCTGGCAGCGATGAACTTGGTGCATGAAGCCAATAATAATAATAATAATAATAATACACGGACCGACTGATGGTCAATAGCCAAGTTTATTAACAGTATCAGACTTTCCAGAGACAGATGGTCATGGGGAGGAGGGTTTGAGAAATTTACATTTCAACAGCAGGGGGAGTCTCCTTTCCTAGGTTTGCTAGTTTCCTTCCTCAACAATGAGAGGGGCCACAGTACTTGATTTATCCTCTGTGGCCTTTCCAGGCACGCTGGTAGGGAGCTATGCTGGAAGCAGATGCAGCCAGCACTGGACACTGGGCTCCGACCTGGGATGCTGGTCCTTGGCCTGCTCAGGGTTGCCTTGGTCCTTCCTCCCTTACGTCTTTGTCTCACCCATGACTTTGTCTGCTTGGGAAGGCCTGGCCTTGGCTTCCCGTCTCATGTCCATGTGACTTTTATTCCACTAAATAAGATGACTTTGGCCTCTTAGGCAGACCCCTTCTTTAGCCATGGTTTTGCTTTCTGTAGATTTGGTTACCACGTTACCCTCAGTCCAGAATTGTTATGTGGAGAATTCTAGAACTGATTCATTAAGGGCCGGATGTGGTAGCTTAGTAACTAAAGTCTTGGCCTTGCATGCACCAGGATCCCACATAGGTACCTGATCTAATCCCAGCAGCCCTGCTTCCCATCCAGCTCCCTGCCTGTGGCCTGGGAAAGCAGCCGAGGACGGCCCAAAGCCTTGGGACCCTATACCTGCATGGGAGACCTGGAAGAGGCTCCTGGCTCCTGTCTTAACATTGGCTCATCTCTAGCCATTGTGACCAGTTTGGGAGTGAATCATCGGACGGAAGATCTTCCTCTCTGTCTCTCCTCTTCTCTGTATATCTGACTTTGCAATAAAAATAAAGAAATCTTAAAAAAAAAAAAAAAAGAAAGAATTCATTAAATTTTAAACATCTTCTGTCACAGTATGTTGTGATTGTTGCACTCTGTAGGAGTTGTTTGTGATGCGGCTCTTCCTTCGCCTGCTTTATAAATGGAACTGTATCCCAGGCGTGCCTAGGACTGATCCAGGAGCTGCTGGGCTAGAGCAAGCCCACGGTGGACACTGGACCCTTCGCTAGAGGCCACTTGACATATCAGGTGAAAGAACCTGGAGCACAGGCTAACAATTAGACTCAGGAAGCCACAGACCACCAGAACCCTTTGTGGGCATCGCTGATGGTGCCCTCAGGGCCAGGTGGCAGACGGGCAGCCCAATGGCAATGAGACATGTGGCAGGTGCCCGTGTTCCGGGGCCTCCTCCCCGGAGTAAGGCTTTGCACCCCTTGAAGGCCACCTTCCGATATGTGTCCAGTCAGCCAAGTCGTGTGGAAAGAGAAACCCGAAAGTACTGCTTCCCGTCAGCTTGGGGAAGTGAATCCTTCGGTGACCTCATCAGCATTTATCCTAAATAGACCTAGTCAAAGCTCCCGTGGACTTCCCCCGCCCCCTCCGAGGGGCACAGACTTCCTCGGCCTTGACAAAACAGAGCTGCTGTTTGCCAGCTGTGTGGGGGTGCTGCTGCGTTGAAGGCCGTCTGGGTCAGCCAGCGGTGCCTGCTGCCGGAGGTCCAAGGACCACCCTCTCCTTCACAAGCCGGCCACCCACATCTTGCCATTTGTCAGCACCCACAGAGCTAAAAAAAGCCATTAAGGAGTCCCAAGGAGTTCTCAATTTCAGTTGAGAAGAATCATCTGGAATGATTTTTCTTCTTCTTCTTAAAGTTTCATTTATTTTTTTGGAAAGGTAGAGAGGAGCCAGTGTTTTGGTGCAGTGGGGTCAGCTGCCACCTATGGCACCAGCTTCCCAAGTGAACGCCAACTCAAGTCCTGGCTGCTCCGTTTCTGATCCAGCTCCCTGCTGATGTGCCTGGAGAAGGCCCAAGCACTCCGGCTCCCGCCACCCACAGGAAACACCCAGATGAAGTTCCACCTGTCCGTTGTGACCAAGTGGGTGTGAGGCAGCAGAAGGAAGATCATCCTCGTCGTCTCCTCCCTCTCTCTCTGTAACTGCCTTTCAAATACATCTTTTTTTTTTTAAAGATTTATTTTATTTTTATTGGAAAGGCGGATATACAGAGAGAAGAGACAGAGAGGAAGATCTTCCGTCCGATGATTCACTCCCCAAGTGAGCGCAACGGCCGATGCTATGCCGATCCGAAGCCAGGAGACTCTTCCGGGTCTCCAACGCGGGTGCAGGGTCCCAAGGCTTTGGGCTGTCCTCGACTGTTTTCCGGCGCCACAGGCAGGGAGCTGGAAGGGAAGCGGGGCTGCTGGGATTAGAACTGGTGCCCATATGGGATCCCGGGCATTCAAGGCGAGGACCTTAACCACTGTGCCATCGCGCCGGGCCCCAAATAAATAAATCTTGAAAGAAACAGAAATCTATTTGCTGGTTTAGTCCCCAAATGCCAGGATATCCAGGGCTAGCACAGGTCAAAACCAAGAGCTGGAGCCTCAGTCTGGGTCTCCCAAGTGTGTGGCAAAGACAGCAAGTGTTCGTGGTACAAATTCCAAAGCCATCACTTGCCAGCTCATGGGGCGTGCATTGGCGGAAAGCTGGATGCGGCATGGATCCTGCGCCCAAACCCAGGCACGCTGAGATGGGACATGGTGTCCCGTGCATACCAGGTGCCTAGCCCCGGGAGTGGGGACCTCCTCCCCTGGGGCGTGGAGTGGAGACGGAGAACACGCATCCTGCGTGGTGGCACCTACACACCCAGCGCTGCATTGAATCCACCCCTCAGCTGATCACCCACAACTGCCAGTTTCTTTATGATTCAGGAGGAGCTAAAGGGCTTCTGATTGCCTCCTGTAAAAATAAAAGATTTCAGCTTAGTGGCTAAAGTGCTCGCCATGAATGCACTGGGATTCCATATGAGCACTAGTTCTAATCCTGGCAGCCCCGCTTCCCATCCAGCTCCCTGCTTGTGGCCTGGGAAAGCAATCAAGAATGGCCCAAAGCCTTGGACCCACATGGGAGACCTGGAAGAGGCTCCTGGGTCTTTGCTTCAGATCTGCTCTTCTCTAGCCATTGCAACCACTTCGAAAGTGAATCATCAGATGGAAGATCTTCCTCTCTGTCTCTCCTCCTCTCTGTGTATCTGCCTTCCCAATAAAAACAAAATAAATCTTGGGTCGAGCGTGGTGGCCTAGCAGCTAGAGTTCTCGGCTTGAATGCGTCGAAATTCCGTGTGGGCACCAGTTCTGGTCCTGGCAGCTCTGCTTCCCATCCAGCTCCCTGCTTGTGGCCTGGGGAGGCAGTCGAGGACGGCCCAAAGCCTTGGGACCTTGCATCCGTGTGGGAGACCTGGAAGAGGCTCCTGGCTCTGGATCAGCACAGCACTGGCTGTTGTGGCCACTTAGGGAGTGAATCATTGGATGGAAGATCTTCCTCTCCTCATCTCTGTATATCTGACTTTGTAATAAAAATAAATATTTTTTAAAAAAATAATAAAATAAATCTTAAAATAAATAAATAAAAGATTTTCCATGCATTGGCTCATCCCCCAAATGCCTGCCAACAACCACATCCCCCAAGTACACTTTGTGTGCCCCCCCTAGGCAGCAGAGAGCAAGGAGCCCAAGTCCCCAGGGACCAGTGCCTGTAGCCTCCCAGGGTGCCCAGCAGCAGGACCCTGGGGAAGGGAGCATTCCTGGGGGCCTGGGACCCGGGCCCTCTGCCCAATGCCCCTTTGTGGGACCTGAGGCCTAGGGACCCACAAGGAGCACACCTCTGTTGGGAGTTCTGGAGGAAGGGCCACGGGGCGGGTGACAGGGGCGGGGGGGACACTTCTGACCAACTTCCTCTTTTCTGTCCTTTCAGATTCACTCAGCAAGTGAGTCAAACACCAAGAAAAAACTCACCAAGGGTTGGGGGGAAGTGGCTTCATTGTCCAGTGACTTCTGAGAGCTGATCTCGTACGCCCTTCAACTTGGCTGCTGTTGCCCTTGTGGGCA